ATTCCAATGAAAACGATACGATAACGAACAATTTACGATTACAAGCCATTAACTTCTTAAAGTTTCTCGCCGCCATTGTTCCTTGACCTGAAGATAATCGAGGAACTTTTTAAATTTTTTCTGCCGTTTATACGTGTCGATACAATAGAGAGTTAAACTCACGATGAGACAGCACTTCAACTCTGAGAGTTGAAATTGATCAAGTGCAAAACGTTTGTTGAAATCAAAATTTATGAACTTTTACAAAATTTAATAATGATAATAATAATCACACAATGGCGTGACCAGTACCGGTCGTCATAGTATGATTAAACTACAGTCTATCGCAATGTTGTAAATATTTAAAACTTTTTAAAATTGTAGAACTTCGATGGAAAGGAGACAGTGATACAAAGAAAAAAAAACAATTTGAACGAATCCGTGTAATTCCTTCTTTAGCTACAATGTCGAGAAACAGGATTTAAAAAGATGATTACGGAAAATTACGTTATCCCAACGCTGGTTCTTAATGGATTACTACTCGTCGTATGATTATCTATGGTACACTTACTTTAAAGACCAATTGTAACTGTAATTTTGAACATTTGATTTGATTTGATTTGATTTAATTTAATTTAATTTTATTTCCTTTCGTTTCGTTGTCATGGAGACATGATCAAAATTTTACGCGACAAATTGAATTTTCCACGTGTTTCATTGAAAAACTGAATAATATAATAAGAGATGAAAAAATTATCTCACTATGATAACATGATGGCTAACCTATTTTCTCGTTGAACACTTAATGTTTACCTTCATGATAAGCGATCGTTTATGGTTGAAGAAACGTTAAGCCTCGTTCAGATTAATTCAAATAACTTGAAATTGCTTTGTTTATGTGACCATTATTTACTCGATCTGAAATATCCTTTCGAATTTCTACTCTTATCTTTATCAACCAGGTCAACTGAATTCAATAATGCAAAACGTTTGTTCTCGAAGTTTCAAGTAAAAACGCGTTTCTTTTTTTTCCGCGGCGAAAAAAGAAAAAGAATTGTTAGGTTATGTAATGTTATGCTTAATTTCGTGTTCGTGGTTTCCCAAGTCAAGTCGATATTTCTTCAATTTTATTGCCAGTCTCATACTTTGCATACATGTATATACTATATTTACCGCGTTCATAATTATAATCAAGATTATAATTAACATTTTACATTTAGTTCCATAAAGTATAACCTCAAACCAGAAGCTTTAATTTCATTTTCAACTTCTGATTTTATCTCATGTAATCACATATGTATTTGATAGATATGAAACATTGGTAGAGTTAATATAAATCAAGAAGTAATATAATTGAAGATGAACGAAAATTAGTCGTGCAAAGGTCAACTCGAGTTAAGCGATTTCAAATATGCCTTCAGCGATTGAAAGTTTTATGAAATATCAACTTGTTATTGCAAATAATTCGTTAGAAAATTCAATAAACAACGTACGATAACATTGAAATATCAACTTCTTGATCGAATTTTGTCTCAGTATAATTATCCCTAAATAGAAACGTAGCACAGTTATCAGTAAAATTGTCACAATTACAAGTTACCAATATTACTAAATACTCTTACGTAACATTCATTTTTGCTTTAAAAGTAAATTTTACAAATTACAAGTCAGTTGATTTGATGAAACTTTATTTGACATGAGAGTTTTAAAACTGTAAAAAAAAAAAGAATTTATAACCTGGACTTTGTAATTTATCTCAATTAATTGATATATCGTATGAGAGGACTATTGGAACATAAATTCATCTTATTTTCGTATTTAATATAGTAGTTCACGGAAGTAACTAATGCATCTGTTACACAATGGAAACAAGAAATTTTATTGTCGCATGCAGTGAAACACGAATATCATAAATATTCTGTTCCCAAAATTTATTTCAAACTTTGCCAATGACAATCGACTCTCATTGCAGTGCGAATAAAATTTCAAAATGTCGCGTAAAGCGAAACAATATATTCATAAAATGTTTCTACAAACGTGTTTGAAGATTTTCACGAGTAACTGTGAAAACAGTGTACGTCCAATGGAAATGGATATCAATCTCATCTCTTCTAGTATTAAATTTTCAAATCATCTAATCTGAACTCGACCAACTTACATTCAAGTAATTCGAGTAACATGAACGAAGCTTCGTTCACAGATTCGTGCTGAAAAACCATGTACGAGCCGAGCCGAACCGAACCGAACCGAGCCGAGCCGAACTGTGCCGAGTAAAAACGAGCGAAATCGTGCGAATACAGTGGCTGCGCGTCGTTTGACATGTCGCGCGTTTAAGGTCACGTTCATTGTAAGTACTAACGCGGAACACGTTAATTTAAACGTGTGGCACGCGCCGCGTCGTTTCGTTTCGCCAAGTTCATTGCTAAGGCCGTTTCTCGCTGGCTCGATCGTGCATCTTCGCCCGCGATCTCGCGTTTCACGTCAATTTCACGCCGAGGAGGCTGCACAGATTTAGCGTTCGTCTTCGACGATGAATCAGTTAGGTTAAGGGACGCGCATGCGCGAGCAAGACCGACTGGCAGACAATCGAGGATCTATTTCCGGTCGGCGAGAGCCCTCCGCGGTCTCCACGTGTTCTCGGGAACGAAAGAATCGCGACTAATTTCGTCGAAAGTCACGCGACGTGATCGCGCGCCCCGATTATCGGATCGTTTTCTGCCCGCTGGCCACAAGACCACGAAAGTGACGAAACGGCGGCAAACGCGGAGAATTCTTCGTTTCAATGGCCGAGTCGCGAGTCATCCGGTTATGCAACATCTTCCGCGTAAAAATGGCTTCGCGTGGTGGATGTACAGCGGTCTCAGATGTGGCATTTCGTCGCCAGAATTAACGACATATTTATATCGACGCTTCTTTCTGGCGAGAACCGACAATGTTATGACTGACGTGATTTGTACTGATTGTTACTAGGCTTGACATGCGGCGTTTCTTTAGTAGAAATCGTTCGTTAGTATTAACTTGCAATACGTATGTACATCGGAGAGACGTTTGTCTTTGGATGTCGAAAACATGTAAATTCTCTCAACTGCATTTTTCATTAACGAACAAAAAAATACAGAGTACCACATAGTATGCAAAAATATTTGAAGTATGTAACCTCTTTATGTAACATGTAACAGGGGTACAAGAGTTTTCTTACCTGGATCACGATTGTATTTTCAAAAGTAAGAATCTACTCGTGTATTTACTCGTTTTTTAAGTTAATTAGTACTTTTTCTGTACAAACACAATTGATCAGTTAAGAGGTATTGTTCAAAGATCATAGTCGATCAGAATGAGAAATGCAATCAAGAGAGCCTGAATTTATTTGCAATTTAGAAATGAACATCTTTTTGATATCATATACTTACTACCTGATATCAATAAACGATTTATATAAAAAAAAGGTAATTTTTTATTTCATCTAATATTCAATGATAATGCAAATTAGACTATTGCATTTTATCCATCATGCAGATGAGATTCGACCAATGAAAATGTTATTCATTCATCGTGTCAAACTGCTTCCTCTAACAATAGCAACTACATTGTATAACTCAGAGTCTAAGAATAATAGTTACTTTTAAAATTTTTATGAAAATTTTCATTTATTATCGAGAAAAAGTTAATTTGAAGATAATAGTTACTGAATTATAAGATTTTTTTAAAAATTGAATCTTTCAATGTTCTCGCAATGAATGATCATTGTAAATGATTACAGTTTTTTGATTACTATTGTTCATTGTTAATTCTAAAAATTACTATCTAATATCTACAGTAAAACTGACAGTCAAAAGTAACCAAGAAAGAAATCTTTTGTCATTGATAGAAAAATAGAAAAATTGAAAAATAATCAATTATAATTGTGAACTTATACATCATTTTTAAAATTTGGTATACATGTCAAAATTACTCAGGTATTTATTAATGAAAATCTGCACAGAGCTAAAAGTTACAGAAAGCTGTATTTGAAATTCACGTGTTCTTGTTAACAACTGTGTAAACCTTCATATAAAAAAGTCCGACGTCTATTATTTTTAATTATCTTTTCATAAAGCTTCTCAAGGTTTAAGTTATTATAAAGTTTCCATTGTTTCTACATACATAAAAGCATGTATATATAACATACATAAATAATTGAAATATACTCCCACTTATCTCTGCAAGAATAATATTACATACAATTGTAACTCTGTATAAATAATAAATTAGCTGTGCTTAAAATTTTATGATTTTCTCTTCATAATTATGTATGATCACAGAATCTTTTAAAAAGAGAAATATGCTGGCTCTCATAACTATAAAACTATGCAAAAAATTTCAACTTTCCCCCATGTAAAAAGGAAC